ACTTGCAGTTGGCAGTGTTCTCAGCATCAGTAGACACCAGTTTCCTCTCAGCTTTCTCTCAGGGTCACTGTCTCCCTGGCTTCCCTGGTAGGGACCCTTCAGGCTGTGTGTGTGGGTGATGAGATGAGGAGCCTAGGCTGATTGTAAGAAAAGCTCTTGTTCAGCCCCGTAGCCTCCCTGGCTATGGGGGCAGCACCAGCTGTGCCTTTCTCCTTTCCCCAGCTTCTAGAATCCTCCAGTCTTATTTTCAAATACAAGTAGCTTCAGGCTTACCGACCTGTAGTTTTTGGAGTTCTGTCCATGGCCTGCCCTGGTGAATGGGTAGTTAACACACATCCGGTGAATGTTCCCATCTCTCCTCTGTGCCTCACCAACCTAGTTGACCACTCCTTCCCTTCAGATCAAAGCACAAAGCATCATGTCCCCTGGAAAGCCTTCCATGACGACCACCAACCCAATAGGCCCTCACAACCTCCTGCGCTTTAATCACAGGCCTCATCATGTGTCTTTGAAATTATCTGATTGACATCTGTTTTTCATTACTAGACTGGGAGCTCCACAAGGATGCGGACCATGTCTGTCTGACCCACACTTTGTCCCTACTGCCTGGCCCCATACCATGGCCCACACAGGGCTCAGTACCAAGATGCCAAGTACTTGGGGACAAAGAGTACCTGTATTAAAGTATGCAGACAATCTCCAGTATTATCAAATCAGAATTTTCTCAATAAAACGTTCCTAATATTTTCCTTTTATTATCCAGGCACTAGGGTAAATGCTTGACATGTATGATGTAACTACCATACCTACAACACACATTTTACAGACTGAAGCAGAGGCTTGCTATAGATCACATAGGTAGCAGAGCTGGGATTCTGTCCTCTCTGTCTTGGCCAGTCTGAGACTGGAGCTCCCTCTGTCTGTTCTGCTTTCATTTCCATGGCCTCCCATCTCCCTGGGTGGAAGGCATATTATTTGGATGCTGTCCTAATAGGTCAAGCTGACATGGATGGGCCCACAGTAAGTTAAAATTTCCATCCTATGAGTACTTTATGGTCATTATTTTTTTCTTGATGTTGGTTAATGTGTTTGCTGATCAGTTAACTCTATCTGGCATCTGCATTCAGAGGGGAAATTTATGGAGCAACTGTCAGTTTTAAAGCCTCTGTCCCCATCAGTATTTGGTACATACTCTGGTTTCTCAGTCTAGCCATACCGAGGACATTCCTGATTGGTCTCAAGAGCAGATCTGCAACATGATTGATAGAGCACTAGTCAGCCTTCCACTAGCAGAATGTTCGAAAAGCATTTTGAAGCTTTTAATTAAAAGTTTGTGTAGGTCTGGGGATTTACCTTTGCAGCACAAGCGCCTGCCTGGCAAGTGAAAGGTCATGAGTTCAATCCCCAGTACCAAAAAAAAAAAAAAAAAAGTTTGTGGTAGAGAGATGAGAGTAGCTACTTTTTTCTTTAAAAGTATATAGATTCATATAGAAAGATGAATAAATTTAAATAAAAATATTAACACAGATGAATAGGGTAAAATAAGGCCCACATGATTAAGGCCTTGGCAACACCAAAGTGGGTTATTCTAATCCCCCACTCTTCACGGGTTGTGTTGTGTGTGGTCTCCAGTGGACTTCGATTTAGATCGTGATTCAGTCAGTTGATCACCAAATAATTACTATCACTAGCTCAGATTCCCTGCCTTGACAGGGCTCGTGCATTTCTGGAGGAGGGAGATAAGTGGACCCTATTGTAATATATATATATAGTTCCCCCTAGGAACTGGAGTTGAACCCAGAACCTCACACACGGCTAGGCAACTGCTGTACCCCTGAACTATATTCCTAACCCTTTTTATTTTATTTTAATTTTTTGTTTTATACTTACTACATTTGTGATACATAAAGAATACATTCATCATGAGGAATTGGTACATATACGTATTGCATCTTAATCCTTTTTACTTTCCACTCTCCTCCTCTTTTTTTTTTCATTTACTTTTTCATTTTGAGCCAAAGTCTTGCTAAGTTGCCCAGGTGAGCCTGGAACTCTCAGTCCTCCTGCCTTAGCCTTCCACATAGCTGGTGCTATAAGGGTGTGCCTCTGTGCCTGGTACATCATCTGTTTTGAACAGTAAACTATCCTGTGCCTGGATGAGGTATGGTTTTTTTTTGTTTTGTTTTGTTTTGTTTTTTTGATCTTTCTTGGACTTGGTGGTCATTAGGATATTAAATCTGTGGGTTTATAATTTTTGTTGAGTTTTGAAATTTTTCAGCTATTATTTCTTGGAATATCTTTGTTTCCTGTCTCATTTCACTTTCAGGGACTCCAATTAGTATACATACTAGATCCCTTGAGCACCACAGTTCAGTGATGCTCTGTTCATTGTTAAAAAATTGTCTTTTTTTCTCTGTTTCATTTTGGATGGTTTCTATTGCTGTATTTTCAATTTTATTAGTCTTTTCCTCTATGGTATCATCTTATCTAATATATTTTTAATCCTGATAGTTTTCATCTCCAGAAGTTGGATCTTTTTCTTCTGTCTTCCATTTCTCTGTTTAATGTTTAGAACACACAGAATATAATTGTGAGAATTGTAATGTTCTTATCTGCTAATTGTCAGATCTGTGTCAGTTCAGGGTTAGTTTTGATTGATAGATTTTTCTCCTTGGTTCTGATTATATTCTTTTATTGCATGACTGGCAATTTTTCATTCAGTGTGATTATGAATTGTACCTTTTCAGGTGTTAGATACTTTTATATGACCTCAAATATGTTTGAGGTTTGTTCTGGGATGCCACTAAATTACCTGAAAACAGTTTGACCTCTCTAGATCTTGCTTTAAAACTTTGGAAGCAGCACCAGGACAGGGTTTAGTCTAGGACTAATTACTCTCCACCAGCAAAGCAGGATGCTTCTTAGAATGCTATCCAGAACTCTGAATTACAAGATTTTTCAGCCAGGCATGGTGGCATATGCCTATAACCCCAGCACTCAGGAGACTGAGACAGGAGGATTACTATGACTTCAAGGTCAATCTAAACTAATAGTGAGAAAAGCCAAAAAACAAGCAAACAAAAATTTTCCACTCCAGTTAGTGAGAACAGGCTCAACCCTACATGAAGTCTAGGCTCTCTTTCTTTCATTTTTACTGTGTGCGTCTTTCTCAGGCCTTAGGCATTTCCTTCCTCAAGTGTGATTAGTAGTTTACTGGATACCTGAGGGGACCTTCTGTGCACCCCTACAGTTCTGTGACCTGTGGAATCATGCTGCCTTAGTCTCCACAGAATCTTGGCTTCATCTCCTCAGTTTTGGGGCATTATGACTTCGATATGAAGTACCCCCCACTAAAGAATTGTGTATTGAGGTTTTGATCCTCAGTGCAGCAGTGTTCAGAGGTGTCTCTGCCTCTGGCTCTGACTGACTGACTCTGCCTCTTTCCTGTCTTTCTGCTTCCTGGCTCACATGAGGTGAGCCGCTTTCCTCTGCCATAATGTTTCTGCCTGAACCCAGCCAAGGCTGGACTGAAACCTCCGAACCTCTGAGCCACAGATCTGCCTTTAAGGTATGCCAGGTATTTTCCCAGCAGTGAAATGCTACCTAGTGCTACAGAGTGTCTGCTGGGCTTCACCCAGGGTTTCCCTCTATTCCTCAGCCCACAGAGACTAAGAAATAAACAGGTTAAAAAATAAATTTACATTCCCATAGTTCCAGGGCCTAGAATTCTGAGATTGAAGTACCAACAAATTCATTTCCTGGTGAGGGTGCTGTCATAGCTTGTAGGGCATGGATGTCTTAGTTTTGTCATACTATAACAGAGTACCTGTCATGGGCTCATTATCAAGAAACTCATATAGGTCATAGATTTGGAGGTTGAATGCAACAACTCCATCCATTTAGCCTCTGGTGAGGACACCCTTTTTTTTTTTTGTCTTTTTCCTTTTTATCGGTACTGGGGATCGAATTCACGACTGCCTGCTTGCAAGGCAGGCGCTTATGCCGCTGAGCTAAATCCCCAGCCCCTTGTGAGGACACCCTTGCTGCATCACAGTGCGGTGGAGAAGCAGAAAGGGAAGCAGCTCTGTGTGGAAGGGGCCAAGTGTTTTAGAATAGTCTCACTGTGTAACTACCAGCTCTCTCTCCCTAATTCAATCATGAAAGCAGAATCAGTCTCTTCTGAGGGTGGAACCTCCATAACCCAACCACCTCTCCCCACCTCTTACAGACTCTGCCATCTCTTTTTTTTTTGTCTTTTTCCTTTTTATCAGTACCGGGGATCGAACTCACGACTGCCTGCTTTCAAGGCAGGCGCTTATGCCGCTGAGCTAAATCCCCAGCCCCATGACTCTGCCATCTCAACATCAACATGCTGGGGACTATGCTTCCCACACATGAGCCCTTTGGGGCATAAACTGTATCCAAACTATAGTGGCTGCCTCCTTGCTCGTGGCCTTTTCTCTGTGCTCAGGGAGTCTATCTTAGGCTGCTTTTGAAATGCTGTCAGCACTGTGAGTCCTTCCTATGTGTATATTTTGCTGTTGTGTATTGTTTTGGTTTTGACACATAATAACTTCACCTTTGAAAGAAAAACCTTTTAAACTGTAGATTACAAAGATTTTCTGGAGAGTTAATCAGCTTTTACAGAACCAAGGGTTTGCAGCATCACCAGGCTACAGAGTATTTAGCATTAGGTAAAGTGCAGCCTATGTTCAGGTGAAGGCTGGGCGCATCAGCATCCCCCCTTGACCTCCATGCACCAAATCATTTTGACACCTGCTGATTGATTTTAAAGTGTAAAAATGTATACCATTCAGAACCACAGCCTGAGGAGACAGCTAGGAGATATATTCAAGGTACTGACAATATTATCTTGTTAATTTGTGTGATGGTAGTTTTAAACATCAAATCAAGCAGTTTATTATGTCAAAAAAGATGAAGAAGCACAGGAATAAAATTCTCCTGAACTCACTGCTGCGCGTATTTCACTGCCCTGACAGGCTGTCATGATCGGGGATGACATTGTAGGTGACATCGGCGGTGCCCAGAGATGTGGAATGAGAGCACTGCAGGTGCGCACCGGCAAGTTCAGGTCAGTGCCCGTGGCCGGGTCATTTGTCTGCTCTTCTCCACAGCGTCCTGGTGAGGCCTTATTCTTTTTTGCTGTCCAAAACAAAAGGGGCTTTTCTTTCCAAATACACAAACAGTATCTTAATCACTTTTCCGTTGCTGGGACAAAATACCCAACACCCACAACCTGGAAAGAGAAGGTTTTTTAATTTTTAATTTTTAAGGTTGCTTCGTTTTGTTGCATGACCAGCATTCCATGGAAGAGCTGACTTTAGGCATAGGCAGGAAGGCAGTTCCTAGAGATGAGACGTTCGTTTTGGCTCACAGTTTCAGTCCATGGCGGGCTGGCTCCAAGGCAGAGGAACGTGGTGGAAGGGCCTGGAGGAGGAAATCTGTTCACTGCATGGTGGTCAGGAAGCAGAGAATACAACCCCCAGTGAACCTGCCTCTTCCAGCTAGGGCCCATCTCCTAACTGCACATTCAGCTGTGAACTTCTTAGTGGATGCATCTTCTGACAAGTACAGCGCCCCCATGACCCAGCACCCCCTAAACACATGAGACGTTTGGGAGGCATTTTAGCTCTAAACCATAATATGCAGTTACGTGGACATTCACTGCTTTGCCTGTTCCTGACTTCTAAGGAGGGGTTTGACTGACCTTCTAACAGAAAGCATATTTCCTCCTGGCTTGATGTGCAGTAGTAAGGCAGAGTCTTGATAGAAGGTCTGGGTTTTGAAATGTGAATATGTATAAAGTGCAAAGATAAAAAGACAAAAACTGTCTTAGATGCTCTCTGCCAGGGAGGAGGGGCAAATTTGCCTGTGCTTCTTTTGGCAACGTGTTCAGAGCCTCCACTGTGGTGGAAGTCACCAGTGGTGGCCCTAGTTGTCCTCTTTCTCCTTTTGCTCCGCCTTCTCTGGTCCATGAGCTGCAGAGATCACAGACTGGTGTTAGAGTTGCTCGGGAACAAGACTTCCATCTGAGGGGCTGGGGATTTAGCTCAGTGGCATAAGTGCCTGCCTTGCAAGTGTGTGGTCGTGAGTTCGATCCCTGGTACTGATAAAAAATTTTAAAAAAAGACTTCTATCTGGAAAAACAGCTGAATTCTGTTTACCTTGTCAGAAGCCTGCTCTGTCCTGAGCAGGTCACCATGGGCACCTGCTGAGGGTTGTGAGTACATGAAGCTGTCCAGGCTTTGGTTCACTTGGCCCTTGAGGATGTCTTAGACATCAGAGCATTGCCTTGTGTGGGTTGGATGGATCTGACTGTACCCTTCAGAGAACGTACAGATTTGCAGGTTCTGGGTTAAAACATGGTCAATCAACAACTGGTGTCTCATCTTACTAAAAAGCTTTTGCACAGCAAAAGAAATCACCAACAGAGAGAAAAGAAAACCCACAGAGTGGGAAAAAATTTTAGCCAACTGCCCCTCAGACAAAGGACTTCTATCTCAAATATATAAAGAATTGAAAAAATCAGCCCTCCCAATTCAAACATCCAATCCAAAAATGGGCATCTGAGATGAATACGTACTTCTCAGATGAAGAAATACCAATGGCAAATAAATATAGAAAAAATGTTCAATATCACTGGTCATTTGAGAGATGCAAATTGAAACAGCACTGAGATTCCGTCTCACTCCAGAAAGAATAATGGCTGTCATGAAGAAATCAACCAATAATATATGCTGGCAGGGCTGTGGGGAAAAGGGAACCCTTCTCCACTGTTGATGGGATTGTAAACTGGTGCAACCACTGTGGCAATCAGTGTGGAGAAGCCTGAAAAAACTAGGACTAGAGGTCCCATTTGACACAGGTATTACCCTTCTTGGTGTCTTCTCAAAAGAATTAAAAGCATTATATCACAATGATATTATGCACACCCATGTGTGGTACAGTTTGTAGTACCTAAATCTTGAGAACAACCTAGTTGCCCAACAACAAATAAAAAAGATGTGGGTTTTAAAAAAATATAATGGAATACTGCTCTGCCATAAAGGAGGATAAACTTGAGATATTTATCACTCAATGATGAACCTTGTGATCATGCTCTTTAAGTGAAATAAATCGGACACATGCATGTAAATATCACATTGTCTCTCTGGTGTGAGAAACAAAGTGTAAATAAGAATCAAGTTGTAAGAACCAAGATATTGTGAAGAAATTATTCAAAAGGAAAGAGGAACCAGGGAGGGGGAGGAGGAAAGGAAAGAAGAAAAAAGAAGAGGTGAGAAAAGGAGGATAAAATATAAGCAGAGCTTTGTGAATAAGGAGGGAAAGAAGAATTGAAGGGAGAAGAGGGAGATGGGAGGGGAAAAGACAGATCACCCTGTACAGGTGCAAACTCCCTGTGATGAATATGATCACTGTAATATGAATATGATCATTGATATACCTGAATTGTACTGATAAACTTACGTAAATTAAGTAAAACACAAAAAAAAACATGGTCACCCAGGGGACTTGGGTTTGGGCATGGGAAGGAGGTCAGTCGTGTTTTAACTGAGTGATCTACTTGGGCAAAGTCAGAGTTAATTAGAAGCCTGGCTCTGGCTCTAGGGTCTCGTAGGTGAAGACCTGTGGGCTTGGGGTCACAGGGTCAGGAAACCCAGTCCCTTCTGGTCATCTTCTGTACCTTCTCAGAGTGGGACTCCCCCGCCAAGCTCTAACACACTGAAATGGGGACCTTCTTTCTTTCCCAGGGCCCAAAGTGGGTAGTCTCCTGGCTCCCCTGGTTATGTGTGGCCTGTGGGAATGAGGAAGACCCCATTCTCAAGCCATAGAAGCATTCTCTCTGAGAGGCCAGCCCACGGCCCTGTCTTTGTCTATGCTGCTGTAAGAACACGTAGGCTAAGGAATTTAAAAAGAAGAGGAATAGCTTCTCACATAGTTCTGGGAGCTAATAAGTCCAAACTAAGGTGCCCACAGGTTCTTTTCTGGCTCCAAGATAGCACCTACTAGCCAGGTATGGTGGTCCATGCCTATAATCCCAGCCCTCGGGAGGCCGAGGCAGGAGAATCACAGTGAGTTCAAGGCCAGCCTGGGCTACGTAATGAGTGCAAGGCTGGCCTGCACTACCAAGTGAGACTGTCTCATAAAACAAAACAAGATCACACTTAGTTGCTATGTCCTCCAGAGAGGAAGAATGTTGTGTTCTCTTACGGCAGAAGAGAGAAGCTCTTCTAACAATGCCATTAATCCTATGACCAAACACTTCTTCAAGGCCCATCTCCCCACACTTAGCATTAGGAGCGAGGTCTCCACGCCTGAATTTTGGGGGGCACATTCTGACCAAGCAAGGCCTCAAAGTCCCTAATCTCACCTTTGCCTCAGAGTGGCAGAGCCTGACCTTGCCATTGCTCGCAGGCGAGGTGCTCCTGGCTGAGGACTAGTGCTTGGCACCCCTCAAGTGTGTGGTGCCTGTCCCTCTTGCACGGCACTGCCCCCTCCCCCAGGCCAGCCCAGTGGGAGCTTAGTGTGCACCTGACTGCAGAGTGTGAGAATGATGCCTGAGCAGAAGGTGAAACATAAGAACTGTGAATGTTGCACACAGGTCTTCCTCTGGGTTTTGTGGGGGGAAACGATTTTTCTTGATTAAATGTCTGTTTGGAATCTTCGTGGCCTGTGTAAGCCAGGTGCCCCTGTATGCTGAAACAGCACCAGCCTGCCACTAGATGGCGGAGTCTGAAGAAGGGCCCACCCACAGGAAGGAAGTCGACCAATGAGCTGCCCAGCATGAGGAGGCTGTGCTCCCCCGCCCTTCCAAGAATTAACCCTTTTCAGAGTCCTGTTACCGGCATCGCATTTAAAGGAAAGTGTGGGGAGGGCTGCGAATGTGGTTTGCCTAATATGCACAAAGCCCTGGGTTCTATCCCCAGCACTGCAAAACAAAAACAAAAAAACTCCAAAAGTAAGTGATGTCTGCCTGACAGAGTTTGCTCCTAGATGGGTAAATTCCATGCTCAGTTTGCTAAATCCTTCCAGACATGCATCTGCTAACATTTGGGCTATTCATTTTATGAAAATGAGATTATATTGTTTGCAACCTGCAGGATTTTTTTTTTCCTTGAACATATTTATGGCAATTTTCCCTGGTCATTCTTCCTCTTTGCAGACACCTGACAACATGCCGCCTGTAAGTACTCATGCAGGACTTGGTGCACACAGCCTTCAGTAATGGCCAGTGGTGATGCTGGTGTTGCTGCTGAAGTGAGGGATTTCCATCTGGCTCTGGTGGGAGAGAGTGGGGCTTGTTCTGACTTTTGCTTTGTTTGTAAGAATGCAGAGCTGCCTTTGTTATCCTGTGGCACAGAGGGACAGGAGTCTTGGTTCATGCAAGGTAGGGACCGAGTCAATTATGTGGAGGCCACAGGGCAGGAAAGGAAGGCAAGTTCTGTGTATGTGAATACTTGTGTGCTAAAGGGACAAATCTCCCAGCAAGCGGTGACCCTCTAGAGCCTCACTATCCAATACAAAAGCTTCAGATGGCAACTAAGGGCTTGAAATATCGCTGATCTAGATGGGATACACTGAAAGAGTGAACAGCATGCCAGGTTTCAGAGACGAGCAGGAAATAGACTGGGACTGAGCTCACCAGTACTTTCCTGCATCAGCATTTTCTGTATCAGTGTTTTCTATATCACTGTATATTTATTTCACCAATTACTGTACTTTTTATTAATATGATTACTGGGAAAAGTTGCCTCCTGGAGGGGAAGCTGTCTCGTCTTGCACTGCCCCTTTTTCCCTCCAGATGGCACTGTAGGTACATGAACGCACTCTAGATGCATGGACGCTCCCTCATGGGGCCTAGTGCACAGCATGGCTTAGACAGCAGGCTACAGGGCAGCCGTGTGTGCCCTAGCCTTAATGGGACTTCACTCACTTGGGGCGGGGAATCTAGAGTCCACTGTGGCACCCTATGTGTTACTCCTTGCCTTACATGGCTACCTTAGGCCAGTGGGCAGCCTAGATCCTGGGCCAGAGCCCCTTAACTGTGCACAAATGCCACTGCTTAGCCTT